GCACCCATATAATTCTACTTAAATTTGTTCCACTTAGTGTATTTTCAATTTTAACCCAGCTTTTCCCTGGGTTATGGGTCCAATCAAAAATTCTCGCAATTATCACCGCTTTGTAATATCTCTTAAAATCTGGTACACCCAAACCACCTCTCTCCTTAGTTCTAGTCAACATTTCATAGCACATTCTAGGTTTTTTGTTCCTCCATATATATCTCATTATCACTTTTTTAAGTTCTTTAAAATATGCCTCTGGAAGTTTAATTGGAATCATTTGAAATTTATATAAGACTTTGGGCACAATCATCATTTTTATCAAGTTTATGCGGCCTATCCAGGACGTATTTCCACTCCCCATTCTCTTCACCTCCTCCTTAAGCTTGTTTAATAGTGAAATATAATTATCTTTATACAGGTTTTTAGTTGAGGTTGACAATTTTATCCCTAGGTACTTTAATTCTTTTTCTCTCCAAACAAAGGGGAATTCTTCTTGTATTTTTTCTTTTTCACTATTTTTTAATATTTATATTTAAGATTTCAGTTTTTGTCATGTTAATTTTCAGATTTGATAATTCCCCATATTCCTTCAATGTTTTCATTAGATTTGGGAGTGATAACCTAGGATTTCCAACATAGAACATCAAGTCGTCCGCATAGGCTGCCACCTTATGTTCTCCATCTCCTATCCAAATAACCTTTATATCTATGTTCTTCCTTATTGTTGACAATAATGGCTCCAATGATAAAACATACAACAATGGGGATAGTGGGCATCCCTGTCTTGTTCCATTTGACATCCCGAAAAGCTCAGATCTTCCTCCATTAACCATAATAGCGGCTGTAGGCCCTCTATATAACCTTCCAATCCATTTTCTCATTCTGTCCCCCAATCCCAACACCTCCAGGGTATCCATCATAAATCCCCAACTCACTCTATCAAATGCTTTCTCGGCATCAATTGACAACAGTACCACCGGGGCTTTCCCTTTTTTCCTTCCTGTATAAGCAGCAACGATCTCAAGCCGTTGTCTCTTCCCTCTCTCCCCGGGACAAACCCCACCTGGTCCCCATGTATCCACTCCGGCATCAGCTCCTTCAGCCTAATTGCCAATACCTTACCGTACAATTTGGTATCTACATTCAGCAGCGCAATTGGTCTATAACTTGCACACTGGGAGGGGTCTTTATCTTCCTTGTGGATTAAAACTATATTAGCCTGCAAAGATTCTCCCCTTATTTCCATCTCTCCTCCCAAAGCGTTCATATATATCTTCAACTTAGGTATTAACAACTCTTTATATTTTTTGTAGTATCTTACCGAATACCCATCTGGGCCCAGACTTTTCCCCACCGCAGTACTTTTTAATGCTGTTTTTATTTCCTCTGACGTAATTTCTAATTCTAAAGAGTTCAATGGTATTTCACTTAATTTTGATAACCCTGATTTTCTTAAGTATGTTCTTCTTTTTTCTCTATTTACTATTTCAGCTTTATTTAAAATATCCTGGGGTATTATATTATATAACTTACTATACTAGTCCTTAAATACTCCCGCGATGTCTCTAGTTGAGTGCACCAATTCACCCTTGGGATTTCTTATTTTTTCTATGTAATTCCTACTTTTCTTTTTTCTTAGAGTTCTCATTAAATACTTTCCCGGCCTATCTCCCCATCTATACCTCTCACTTATTACTTTATTAAAGACTCTTCATTTTTCTTCCTCCATTACATTTTCTAATTCTTCTTTCTTCTTTATTATTTTTTGCATTAACTCCTTAGTTATTTTCTTTTTATGGGCCTGTTCAAGATCAAATATTTCACTTAGAAGTCTGTTAATCTTTTCCCTCCTTTCTTTTTTCTTTTTTGCCCCTATTTGGTTTGCGCAATCTAATGGCCAAAGGTGCATAAGACAGTCAAGAAATCTTAAGGATTTAGAGAAGATCTGTAAAGAAAGGTGGATTAAAATCCCTCCTGAGATGTGTTCAAACATAGTAACCAACTATAAGAAATGTCTTACTTCTGTGCTTACCAACAAGGGTTTCTCCACCCAGTAATAAGTCATGTTTTGCTTGGGGCTCAAATTCTGATTTTACTCACTGAACCGCAACTCAATGTATAACATTTGTATTGTGTTTTTTTCTGGATATTTGGTTGATATTCTGCCTCTGTCATTTAAAATACACCTATGATAAAAATGATAGACCCTTCATTTCTTTGTAAGTGGGCAAACTTACAAAATCTGGAGGGGTTCAAATAATTATTTTACCTACTGTAGGTGTTGCATTGTTAGCACTTAACTAGTGAGAATACAGTGTGTTGGAAGTATTAGACTGAGACTATGAAGTTCTTTTAATTTGGGATTATGGTTAATTGCTGATAGAGGTGTTCAGTATGTACCGAGGAACTAAAGAAGGTCCAACCTATAAGGTCAGTTGAGATTGGGAAGCACTGCGCTCCTGCAGTCTTGCCCACTGCCTTCCATGTTCAATGCAAAATAGATAACAATCAAGAACAAATCAGCACACAGCAATACAAAACAGTATTAATTCCCCCATGGTATAGCAGTGGGTGCTTCTCAAGGACCTCCTTGATCTCAATGACCTGATTACAGCCTTCTGCTACTTGCTAGTGAGTGACAGAGAATATCCCTTGCTTCCCATTAAAGTGTATTTAACTTTGAAAAAAAAACATTGTTTTGCTGCATAGAAGTAAAAACAAGCACAGCAGAAAATAAAATGACAGGGGTATTACCCCTTCTGTTTTCACAAGTGGCGATGATGTCTGGAGGAGACCCCCCTTTGTTCCAAGCTGGACCAATATACCTATGTATAACATATCAATGCCTGAAATTATTCTTTAAGTGTTAGGGCAAGGCTTAGGTGTTAGGGTCGTTGTTTAGAATTGGTGGCCTTTAACCACCTCCCGCCCGCCATATAGTCCAATGACGGGCGCAAGGTGGTTCTCTCATTCTGGGAGGACGTTATATGACGTCCTCCCATTCTCAACGCGCATGCGCGGCTCAGGGAGCGTGCAGCACGGCAATCAGACGTGCGCTGTGTCCCTCGGACACAGCGGATCACCGATCCATGGAAAGAGCCGAAGATGTTGGCTCGGTCATATGATCAGCTGTGTCCAATCACAGCTGGACACATGTAAACAGGGAAATGCCGATTATCGGCATTTCTCTCCTTACGAGCTGTCACGCTGACAGCTCAAGAGGAGAGGAGAGCCGGGACATCTACATCTACACATCTACAGGAGAGCCGGGGACATCTACACTGATCATCAGAGCACTGATGATCAGTGTGCCTTGATGATCAGTGTAGCCCCAGCAGTGCCACCTGTCAGTGTCCATCAGTGCCACCTGTCAGTGCTCATCAGTGCCACGTGCTAGTGCCCATCAGTGCCACATCAATGCTACATATCAGTGCCTACCAGTACACAATAATGCCACATATCAGTGCCCATCTGAGCTGCCTTTCAGTGTCACCCAATCAGTGACACCTATCAGTGCCAGTCAGTGCCGCCTATCAGTGCTCATCAGTGCCACGTGCTAGTGCCCATCAGTGCCACATCAATGCTACATATCAGTGCCTACCAGTACACAATAATGCCACATATCAGTGCCCATCTGAGCTGCCTTTCAGTGTCACCCAATCAGTGACACCTATCAGTGCCAGTCAGTGCCGCCTATCAGTGCCTGTCAGTGCCGCCTATCAGTGCCTGCCAGTGCCGCCTATCAGTGCCAATCAGTGCCGCCTAACAGTGCCAGTCAGTGCCACCTAACAGTGCCAGTCAGTGCTGCTTATCAGTGCCAGTCAGTGCTGCCTATCAGTGCCATATATTAGTGCTACCTTTCAGTGCCCATTAGTGATGCCTGTCAATGCCCATCAGTGCCACCTGCCAGTGCCTCCTCATCTGTGCCCATCAGTGCAAAAACCCAGAGGTGATTAAATACCACCAAAATAAAGCTCTGTCTCAAAAAAATGATAAAAATTTCATAATGGTACAGTGTTGCATGACCGCGCAATTGTCATTCAAAGTGTGACAGTGCTGGAAGCTGGAAATTGGCATGGGCAGGAGGGGGTATAAGTGCCCTGTAGGCTTGTGGTTAAGCACTTGTACCTGTGAGTCCTGCTCCTAGAACTATCAGTTCCTAGCTTTGTATCCACAGATTTATTATGGGGTGGTGTCTGATGAAAGGTGTAAAAGGAAGCATGGGCAGACAAACAGGACATGCCAGAAAGTATAATAAAACCTGTCAGCCATAACCAGGAACTAAAAACAACAAAAATATTTTATGCCACATGCTTTCAGATATCTGAACTAACCAGGGTAATCCAAGTAGTATAGATTATTGTGAATCCTCCTGCGCTTCTATGGAAAACCCCCCTCCTAATTGATATGCAGCTAACACTCAAACCGATACCCAAAACAGTGTCCAAATATAAATAAATTAGTGTAGCGCTAAACATTCAAATAAGACTGGACCACTATAAATAATAATACATAATAAATAAATACTGTGATAAGTGCTGTGATCCTCTCAGTGCTCTTAGACCACTAAATACCCTCGTACATATCACTCTATTACAAATAAAGCAATATACTCACATTCCATAAAAAATATATTGTGATGTATATGTACGAGGGTATTTAGTGGTCTAAGAGCACTGAGAGGATCACAGCACTTATCACAGTATTTATTTATTATGTATTATTATTTATAGTGGTCCAGTCTTATTTGAATGTTTAGCGCTACACTAATTTATTTATAAATCCAAGTAGTATCCCTGCCTAAGCAAATACAATAATTTGTGTTACAAATATATAACGTTGAATGAGAATACTAAATTAAATTCTGTAAAAATAAATAAACAGGCTAATTACAATGTAAATAATGAATTATCAGAGGCCCATCTCCCAACTAGGCACTATGTTGACCTTCAGCTGATGTAGCATGGCAAATTTAGTAACTACATTTTACTAGGAATTCAGGTTACCGTCTGTGACTTGCGCTATCGTTCCTTCCTCTAAATTGTGGATGAACTCTAGTAGGCATCTTGCGGCTTCATTTCCTTTCAGTTGGATGAGATCAAGAAGTCTTCTTGCCTAATGTAAGCATGAGTTTAGTTCAGCTTAACAATATTCTGAACAAAGCAATGTAATTTTCTCCAAGTCAATCAGTCCTCAAAATTTTCAAACTATACATGTCTTCTAGTTTAAGGAAACATTTCATAGGAGAAAAAAAAGCTGCCATTGCTGATCCGCTAGGGAAAATGCTAGCTGCCATGTTGACCTTCTGGCTTTGAGATTGCTCTCCTTGAACAAGTATACTAAGTATGTAAAGCTTTAATTTCACTTGCCACATGCTTAATTCAGCTTTTTGAAACTGAATTTACTAGTCCAGAGGGAGTCTAGCCTAGCAAACAAGAAATTGCACAAGACATTTAGCAATGGCAGTCATATCTTTTCACATATGATAGGTTACATGTAGGCCATGACCATTGCAAATTGCATATGCTTTACACATCAACCACTAATTATTTTTTAACAGACCTATTATGTATTTCGCATAGCACAATAAAAATATGAACAAACGTGTACAGTGCAATTATTTCAGTAGGGCTTTTTTTTTTGGTGGAATGGAGGCCTTGCATTAGATATTTCCTAATCAGGAAATTACACTGGAATTCTACTTTAAGCTCCGCTTTAAGATGATGTAAACCACTTTTGCCTCTGGCTTTTACATTTACCAGGAGTGTTGGTCCTGCACTGTTTTCCTCCAATGAAATTTCTGGTGTAGTTTTCACTTTCTAACACTAAATGTCTTCCCTTTTGTTTTGTCTTCAAAAGGAAAGTCAGGGGTGACACCAGAGTGTCCTCAGCCATGAACTCTGGCTACCATCTTGCAGGAGCCTGTGTCTGATCGGACCATGAGTTCTCACGGGATTTGGATGGCTATCTTGGCAGGAAAGGCGATATATAGCCCCTGCTGAGTCATTTCGGTGAGCTTGGAAATATGAGGAAAGTTGGTAGGGACAGAGCCCCATTCATGAGAGAGAGATAACCTGATGGAAAGAAGGAACTTTTCTGCATGTAATCAGCATACCAGTCCCTCAGCAGATCACAGCAACCCAGCAAATCTGTTTAGAGTAATTTTTTTTTTGCATTGCTTTATTTGTGCTGTTCCTCTTTTTTTTGCCTAGACAAGTCTTTCTCCCTGACCCCTGCATGTGCACAGATATGCAGCAAGGATCAGGTCCCAAGAGAGCCCTGTCACACATCTGCACATGCGTGGGTTTCCCTGGACATCTGCTCATGTGCACACACAAGGGCTGCTTCCAAGGAAGCCCAATATTTACCTATTTTTGTGTGTGAGTGGAGATTCCCCTTCATGTGTGTCCCACTTTAAAAAAATTGACAGTGGAAAACTACTAAATGAATGTAAGCTGTGTATGCCAACTGTATTTCTGAAACTTGTGTTTGGTAAGTGCCTAGTTGCTAAAGTTAATTCTAGAAGAATGTGTAATATTACTTTCTAATGCTTGCCCACAAGGGACCACAAGTAATACTGGTCAAGCCTTCTTTAAGGAGTTATATAGACAACATATAAAAAATAACTTTAACAAACTGGTTTGCAAATCTCTGTACTCTATTAAACAGAATTTTAACCATTTAGAAGACATGTCCTGTTAATTTGCATTTGCTTATCCTCTGCAAAGGTGCAGATTGGTTTTGTATATTGTTGGCATGCTACTAAAAAGGTTCAGTAATAAATATGAGCAGTTAGTGGAGCTTTGTTCCTAACTATGAAAAGCAGGCCTTCAGAATTCAAGAATCTTATTGAAGCAAAGCATTTATTCTACTAAGTGTATGAACAGTTTGCATAAAACCTTCTGGTTATTACTGTGCTAATGTTGTACTATATATGTGCTTATTTCCCAAATTAAAAAAAAACTTAATAAATAAATACATACAAAATACTTGAAACACAACTCTTGGCTAGCACTTCAAAACAGGAAGCAGAGAATACAATAAGCAGATTTGGCTATGTTATAACAAACTAAATGTAGAAACAAGTCATTTCAAACAATACAAATATCCAATGTCCTGTAGTAACAGAGGTGGTAGGAGATGAACCCCACAGCAGGCATTAGAGGACCAAGAGTCCAACATTTCAGGAAGTGTTGGATGCTGAAGATTTTTCAGCAAGCTTAGGTCTGGAACAAAGTGAAGATCAACAGCATGGGTAGAGGCAGAGGAGAGATATAACTATTTACTTTATGGACTAATCTTTTTTTTAATGTTTTTCCTAGTAGTAGAGTCACTTTAATTTAGTTTTTTTAATCTTGTTTTTGCATAATGTCAATCCACAACAGTAATACACCACAATAACTTGTACACAAAGCCGATGGCTTTCATTTACATGTATATACAAAGCCTATATATAGCTATAAAGTATAACTAAAGGCATTTAGTTTTTGGATTATAATGGAAAGCAATAAAACACCTATTATCTTTTCTTTGCTATCTTACAGTTTTGAGATTGTATAGTGAAAGACCACATGCACATTATAATTGTGTGTGAGAAGTAGCTGAAAGAAGCTGCACATATAGAGGAGCTGACTGTAATTAAAGCATGGAAAAATCTCAGCAAGTTTGCATGAAAACATGATGAGAGAGGTGCATGTTCACGTTGTGCATGAATTTTAGAGTTTGTGCTTGAACTATATGACTAATTATGGTGGACATAGCTTTACATGCAGTATATGCAATATAAGATGCAAAGCATAGGTAAAAGCACTAAATGGTAGATTGCATGGAGGGAGACCACATACATACTACACATGTTTCAAAGTACCAATAGGAGGCTGAACCAAGATACACTATATTGCCAAACGTATTGGGACACCTGCCTTTACACACACATGAACTTTAACGGCAATCTCAGTCCGTGGGGTTCAATACTGAGTTGGCCCACCCTTTGCGGCTATAACAGCTTCAACTCTTCTGGGAAGGCTGTCCACAAGGTTTAGGAGTGTCTATGGGAAGGTTTGACCATTCTTCCAAAAGCACATTTGTCAGGTCAGGCACTGATGTCAGACAAGAAGGCCTGGCTTGCAGTGTCCACTCTAAATTATCCCAAAGGTGTTCTATCGGGTTGAGGTCAGGACTTTGTGCAGGCCAGTTAAGTTCCTTCACCGCAAACTTGTCATCCATGTTTTTATGGACCTTGCTTTGTGCACTGGTGTGCACCTATGTTGGAACAGGAAGGGGCCATCCCCAAATTGTTCCCACAAAGTTGGGAGCAGGAAATTGTCCAAAATGTCTTGGTATGCTGATGTCTTAAGAGTTCCCTTCACTGGATCTAAGGGGCCAAGCTCAACCCCTGAAACACATCTCCACACCACAATTCCCCCTCCACCAAACTTTACACTTGGAACAATACAGTCAAGCAAGTACCGTTTTCCTGGTGACCGCCAAACTCAGAAAAGTCCATTGGATTGCCAGACAGAGAAGTGTGATTCATCACTCCAGAGAACACGTCTCCACTGCTCTAGATTTCAGTGAAGGTGTGCTTTACGCTTTGCATTGCACTTGGTGATGTAAGGCTTGGATGCAGCTGCTCGGCCATGGAAACCATTCCTTTAAGCTTTCTATGCTTTTTTGTTGTGCTAATGTGAAGGCCACAGGAAGTTTGGAGGTCTTTAACTATTGACTCTGCAGACAGTTGGCGACTTCTGCGCACTATGCGCTTCAGCATACACTGACCCCACTCTGTCATTTTACATGGCCTACCACTTTGTGGCTGAGTTGCTGTTGTTCCCAGTTACTTCCACTTTGTTATAAAACCACTAACAGTTGACCATAGAATAATTAGTAGCAAGGAAATTTCACGGATGGCTTTACTTCACAGGTGGCAACCTATCACGGTACCAGGCTTGAATTCATTGAGCTCCTGAGAGAGACCTGTTCTTTCACAAATGTTTGTAGAAGCAGTCTGCATGTCTTGATTGATTTTATACACCTGTGGCCATGGAGGTGATTGGAACACTTGAATCTAATGATTTGAAGGGGTGTCCCAATACTTTTGGCAATATAGTGTATGTGTGAACTGTTATTACAATGTAGAAAATCTCAGCAGATTTGCATCAAACATGATGTGAAAGGTGCATGTTCATATTATGCAAGAATTAGAGTCTGTGCTTAGACTATATTGCTAATGGATCACTGACTAAAGAAGCTGAAGCTGAAGGCAGCATATTACACCATACATTAAACATTAGATGCTAGCTATATTTATAAGCATTGGATGGTGGACTGTAGTTGAATCCACTCCAATTGTTAATCTTTGAGTGAAGTTGTTGGGAAATCACATGCACACCACACCTGTGTGTGAAGTAGAGGAGATACGTTTTACTCATTAATGTGGATTTCGGTGGTCAATGAAATTAGAGGAGACCATGAATGCATAAAGGCTCAACAATATAGATGTATGTGGATGTGATCTGAAATAAGGATGAGGATCCAAAACTGGAGTGTAAAATACTAATGATATGATTGAGGCTAGGTTCTTATCTTTTGAAGCTCTGAGAGCTGCATTTTTGTGTGGGCACAGCAGCCCATTCATTTCACTGGGCTGCTGTGTCTGCATTTTCATGCAGAAAAAGTTTCCTGCACCTTTATTTAAAATGGAGCTACAGGGAAATTACATGGTGCTTATACACCATGTGATTTCCCACACCCGAAAACGTGTTGTGGTTTAAGATATGTAGGAGGTAGGAGTGCCATTAAGAATGTAGCCCTGCATGTCTGCAAAGGAGCAGCACAGTTTGGCTGTGGGTGATTGCTGGAGCAGGAACAGCTGTGATGTACATGCTGGCCTACACCCACAACCACAAGGTGTGAATCTAGCCTAAGGGCTAGTTCACATTAGCTGCAGTCCAGTGTGTTTTTTTTCTGCATTAAAAATGCATGCACAGTGTTTTCCATGTATTCCAATGACCTAGTTCACACCAGTGCAGTCAGTTCCAGTCTGTTTCCAGTTCAGAAAAAAAAAAGTAGAACATGGTGCATTTTTTCTGCACAGAACTGTAATGGAACATAGC